TCAGTGGCTGATGTGGGGCTTGAAAAAGAGATTGGTTTACAAAGAATCCTTTGTAAACCGTAGAGCTGTGTGCAAATTTCCATAGTTTTTGTGTTATCAAGTTTCTTCTAATTTTTTGTCAGTCCCAACATCCATCAGGCCTTCTCAGGTATATATCCACATAGGCAAACACCTCAGTAGTTTGGCACTGACTGGATGAGAGGCATGCCCTCTTTCTTTTCCCTCCCTCCCTCCCTTCCTTCCTTCCTTCCTTCCTTCCTTCCTTCCTTCCTTCCTTCCTTCCTTCCTTCCTTCCTTCCTTCCTTCCTTCCTTCCTTCCTTCCTTCCTTCCTTCTTCCCTCTCTCTGTCTCTCTCTCTCTCTCTCTCTTTCTTTTTTTTTTTTATTGTACTTTAGGTTCTGGGGTACATGTGCAGATCATGCAGGATTGTTGCATAGGTACACACATGACAACGTGGTTTGCTGCCTCCATCCCCCCGTCACCTAAATCTGGCATTTCTCCCCATGTTATCTCCCCACTCCCCTGCTGTCCCTCCCTTGGCGCCCCCAACAGACCCCAGTGCATGATGCTTCCCTACCTGTGTCCATATGTTATCATTGTTCATTACCCGCCTATGAGTGAGAACATGCAGTGTTTGATTTTCTGTTCTTGTGTCAGTTTGCTGAGAATGATGGTTTCCAGATTCATCCATGTCCCTACAAAGGACACAAACTTGTCATTTTTTATGGCTGCATAGTATTCCATGGTGTATATGTGCCACATTTTCCCTGTCCAGTCTATCGTCAATGGGCATTTGTGTTGGTTCCAGGTCTTTGCTATTGTAAACAGTGCCACTATGAATATATGTGTGCAGTGTCTTTATAAAAGAATGATTTATAATCCTTTAGGAATATACCTAGTAATGGGATTGCTGGGTCAAAAGGAATTTCTATTTCTAGGTCCTTGAAGAATTGCCACACTGTCTTCCACAATGGTTGAACTAACTACCTTATACTCCCACCAACAGTGTAAAAGTGTGCCTATTTCTCCACATCCTCTCCAGCATCTGTTGTCTCCAGATTTTTTAATGATCGCCATTCTAACTGGCGTGAGATGGTATCTCAATGTGGTTTTGATTTCCATTTCTGTAATAATCAGTGATGGTGAGCATTTTTTCATGTTTGTTGGCCTCATACATGTCTTCTTTTGAAAAGTGTCTGTTTGTATCCTTTGCCCACTTTTGTATGGGTTTGTTTGTTTTTTTTTCTTGTAAATCTGTTTTAGTTCTTTGTAGATTCTGGACGTTAGTCCTTTGTTAGATGGGTAGATTGCAAAAATTTTTTCCGATTCTGTTGGTTACCGGTTCACTCTAATGATTGTTTCTTTTGCTGTACAGAATCTCTGGAGTTTAATTAGATCCCATTTGTCTATTTTGGCTTTTGTTGTCAGTGCTTTTGGTGTTTTAGTCATGAAGTCCTTGCCTATGCCTATGTCCTGAATGGTTTTGCCTAGGTTTTCTTCTAGGGTTTTTATGGTGTTAGGTCTTGTATTTAAGGCTTTAATCCATCTGGAGTTAATTTTGGTGTAAAGTGTCAGGAAGGGGTCCAGTTTCTGCTTTCTGCACACTGCTAGCTGTTTTCTCAACACCATTTATTAAACAGGGAATCCTTTCACCATTGCTTGTTTTTGTCAAAGATCAGATGGTTGTGGATGTGTGGTGTTGCCTCCAGGGCTTCCATTCTGTTCCATTTATTTGTATCTCTGTTTTGGTACCAATACCATGCTGTTTTGATTACTGTAGCCTTATAGTATAGTTTGAAATCAGGTAGCATGATGCCTCTGGCTTTGTTCTTTTGGCTTAGGATTGTCTTGGCTATGTGGCCTCTCTTTTGGTTCTATGTAAAGTTTAAGGTGGTTTCTTCCAGTTCTGTGAAGAAGGTCATTGGTAGCTTGATGGGGATAGCATTGAATCTATAAATTACTTTGGGCAGTATGGCCATTTGCACAATATTGATTCTTCCTAACCATGAGCATGGAATGTTTCTACATCTGTTTGTGTCCTCTCTTATTTTCTTGAGCAGTGGTTTGTAGTTCTCCTTAAGAGGTCCTTTACATCCTTTGTTAGTTGTATTCCTAGATATTTTATTCTCTTTGTAGCAATTGTGAATGGCAGCTTGCTCATGATTTAACTCTCTGTTATTGGTGTATAGGAATGCTTGTGATTTCTGCACATTGATTTTGTATCCTGAGACTTGGCTGAAGTTGCTTATCAGTTTCAGGAGATTTTGGGCTGAGACGATGGGGTCTTCTAGATATACAATCATGTCGTCTGCAAATAGAGACAATTTGACTTCCTCCTTTCCTATGTGAATACCCGTTATTTCTTTTTCTTGCCTGATTGCTCTGGCTTACATTAGATCGTGATGGATAAGCTTTTTGATGTGCTGTTGCACTCGGTTTGCCAGTATTTTATTGAAGATTTTTGCATCTATGTTCATCATGGATATTGGCATGAAGTTTTCTTTTTTTGTTGAGTCTCTGTCAGGTTTTGGTATCAGGATGATGTTGGTCTTATAAAATGATTTGGGAAGGATTCCCTGTTTTTGTATTGTTTGCAATAGTTTCAGAAGGAGCGGTGCCAGCTCCTCTTTGTATGTCTGGTAGAATATGGCTGTGAACCCATCTGGACCTGGACTTTTTTTGGTTGGTAGGGTATTAATTGCTGCCTCAACTTAAGCTCTTGTTATTGGTCTATTCAAGGTTTCAACTTCTTCCTGGTTTAGGCTTGGGAGGGTGCAGGTGTCCAGGAATTTATCTGTTTCTTCCAGGTTTACTGGTTTATGTGCATAAAATTGTTTGTAGCAATCTCTGATTGCATTTCTGTGGAATCAGTGGTGATATCCCCTTGTCATTTTTTATTGCATCTATTTAATTCTTCTCTCTTTTCTTTTTTATTAATCTGGCTAGTGGTCTGTCTATTTTGTTGATCCTTTCAAAAAACCAGCTCCTGGATTTATTGGTTTTTTTGAAGGGTTTTTTGTGTCTGTCTCCTTCAGTTCTGCTCTGATCTTAGTTATTTCTTGTATTCTGCTAGATTTTGAGTTTTTTTGATGTTGCTCCTCTAACTCTTTCAATTTTGACAATAGGATATTGATTTTAGATCTTTCCTCGTTTCTCATGTGGGCATTTATTGCTATAAATTTCCCTCTAGACACCACTTTAAATGTGTCCCAGAGATTCTGGTACATTGTATCTTTATTCTTGCTGATTTCGAAGAACATCTTTATTTCTGCCTTCATTTCATTGTTTATCCAGTAGACATTCAGGAGCCACTTGTTCAGTTTCCATGAAGCTGTGTGGTTCTGAGTTAGTTTCTTAATTCTGAGTTCTAATTTGATTGCCCTGTGGTCTGAGAGAGTGTTTGTTATGATTTCCGTTCTTTTGCATTTGCTGAGGAGTGATTTACTTCCAATTGTGTGGTCAATTTTAGAGTAAGTGCAATGTGGTGCTGAAAAGAATGTATATTCTGTGGATTTGGGGTGGAGATTTCTGTAGATGTCTGTTAGGTCCACTTGGTCCAGATCTGAGTTCAAGTCCTCAATATCGTTGTTAATTTTCTGTCTCATTGATCTGTCTAATATTGACAGTGGAGTGTTAAAGTCCCCCACTATTATTGTGTGGGAGTGTAAGTTTCTTTGTAAGTCATTAAGAACTTGCTTTATGTATTTGGGTGCTCCTGTATTGGGTGCATATTTAGGATCATTAGCTCTTCTTGTTGCATTGATCCTTTTACCATTATGTAATGCCGTTCTTTGTCTCTTTTGGTCTTTATTGGTTTAAAGTCCATCTTATCAGAGACTAAGATTGCAACTCCTGCTTTTTTTTGCTCTCCATTTGCTTGATAAATCTTCCTCCATCTCTTTATTTTGAGCCTGTTTGTGTCCTTGCACCTGAGATGCGTTTACTGAATACAGCACGCCGATGGGTCTTGACTTTTTATACAATTTGCCAGTCTGTGTCTTTTGATTGGGGCATTTAGCCCATTTACATTTAAGGTTAATATTGTTATGTATGAATTTGATCCTGCCATTTGATGCCATCTGGATGTTTTGCCCATTAGTTGATTCATTTTTTTCATTTTGTCGATGTTCTTTACCATTTGGTAAGTTTTTGGAGTGGCTGGTACTGGTTGTTCCTTTCCTTGTTTAGTGCTTCTTTCAGGAGCTCTTGTAAGGCAGGCCTGGTGGTGATGAAATCTCTGAGCAATTGCTTGTCCATAAAGGATTTTCTTTCTCCTTCGCTTCTGAAGCTTAGTTTTGCTGGATATGAAATTCTAGGTTGAAAGTTCTTTTCTTTAAGGATGTTGAGTGTTGGTCCCCACTGTCTTCTGGCTTGTAGGATTTCTGCGGAGAGATCCGCTGTGAGTCTGATGGGCTTCCCTTTGTGAGTAACTCGACCTTTCTCTCTGGATGCCCTTAGCACCTTTTTTCCCTTCATTTCAACCCTGGTGAATCTGATGATTATGTGCCTTGGGGTTGTTCTTCTTGAGGAATATCTTTGCGGTGGTCTCTGTATTTCCTGGACTTGAATGGTGTCCAGGCTTCCTAAGTTGGGGAAGTTCTGGATAATATCCTGAAGAGTGTTTTCCAGCTTGGATTCATTCTCTCCGTCAGATTCTCTCTGGCTGCCCTCAGCATTTTTTCCCTTCATTTCAACCCTGGTGAATCTGACGATTATGTGCGGAGATGCTGGGCAGGTACTTTTAAGTCTGCTGCAGTGGAACTTATAACTGCCTCTTTTCCCAGGTGCTCTGTCCTTGGAAGGTCGGCTTTATTTATAAGTTACTGTCGTGATGCTGCCGTTTTTTACAGATGCCCTGCCCTGCAGGGAGTAGTCTAGTCACAGTCTGCCAGCAGAGGTGTTGCTGAGCTGCGCAGGCTCTGCCTAGCTGCTTTGTGAACTGCCTCGGTAGTGGCTGACTGCCTTGGTAGTGGTGGTTGCCCTTCCCCCCATTGAGCTGGACCGTCCTGGGTCCAGCTGCGCTTGCTGGGAAACTCTCAATCCAGAGCCTTTCAATTGCTTGTTATGTGGGGGTGGTACGCACGGAGCCAGATCGCCTGGCTCCCTGTCTCTGCCCCCTCCCTTTCAATTGAATGGGCAGCTCTGTCTCACCGGCGTTCCAGGTGCCAGTGGAAACAGCCGCCCAGATTTGTGTGAGTTTCTGTGCGCCAGCACAGCACCGGCTGAAACCACCGTGCTGAAAACTCATGGCACTTTTCAGCCCAGGAATCTCCTGGTCTGTGGGCAGTGAAAATTTGTTTGGAAATGCGGTGGGCACTTACTCTCTGCGTTGTTCTTGCTGGGAACTGCACTCCGGAGCTGTTCCTATTTGGCCGTCTTGGATCCTTCCCACATCCTCCTTCATCTAGCCTCTTGGTATCTTGAGAAGAGAGAGGCAAGATTAGAAGTCTCTGGGAAGTCACTGGTAAGATTAGAAGTTGCTGGGTCCCTTGACAAGGGGGATCATACTATTTATTCTTGTTTATCCTCAGCCACTAGGTTTCTCCTAAGGTAAACAGTATAAATAGTATAAGCCCCCTAAGGGGACCTAGGTTCACAATAGTCAAACACAAATGAAGCATTTTCCACATGTAGGCACTGTGAAGGACTGTGCCTTAAATAATCTCCTTTTTTCCATGTTGTAACTGTGAGGTAGTTTGCATTTTACAGGCTCTAGGTGACATAGTGGTAAATGGCAGAAATGTGATTCAAGACATTATTTGTGAAAATCTGTTTTTTGTATGACACTTCATAAGCTTTGTGACTTCTCTGGATGTTAAGCAAGCTGTGTGATCAGTTGAGAGTGGAAAACTTTGTGTGGTCCTAGGCAGTATGGGGATGGAGGAGTTGGAGAGAAAGTTGCTGGGCTCTGTCTTTGGGATTGAGTGATAGCACCTTCCTCCACATAGAACAGTGGTTCTTGCCTTGAAGGACAGACTCTCTTCTGTATATCTGTCTCACCTAGATGCTTTCAGTATGTCTGATTAATCTGTGTGTCCTTGGTTCTCAGCACAAGACCTGTCACATAGTAACTACTCAGTAAATGGTGGCTAGGCAAATGAAAGAACAAATGCTGTTTAACAAAGCCTTCTGGAACTCCTAATACCTACACTACTCTTCTGCTTTCTCTTCTGTGTAGTTTAATAGGCTAATAGAATATTTTGTCCTTAACACACACATATACATGCCACATACACACACACACACACGTGTGTGTGTGTGTGTGTGTGTGTATGTGTATATATATGTATATATTTTGTATTGCTCATTGACACATAATCCTAAATCCTCCCTCTTAGAATTGATTAGATGCCAGAAACTTCTTGGGAGAGGCATGAGTTTGTTTTATTCTCTTGTATTCTTTGTCCATAAGCCTCTTCCTATACCCCCCATCGCTGCCCAGAGGTGAGTGTCATTTGTAAGGAACATGTGGTAAGCTCTGTTTTTGCCAAGTAGGTTGAAGTAGGTATTCTATTTTGTAAATGGAATTTCTAGAGGTTTTCCTGCTGTTGAATGTTTGGCTGGGTTTGTGATCCTCTCAGGGTGTTGGAAAACCACACGTAGGGATGGTAGCATGAAGGAAAACCGAGCGGGGAATCAAAGTTGCCTTTTGTTCATGGGAATTGTTAAGGAGAGAGATTTTCCTAGCACCTGAAGCCAGAGCAGAGGGTGGATTTGTTATATCTAGTCCAGGGATCAACAAAGTGTTTTTTCGTATAGCCTGCAAACTAAAAATAATTTTTATGTTTTTTTCTTTCATAATTGAGATTTTGTTGGTTGAGGATCTATACAGACATTTCAATTTGTAAACAGTTCTTAACATATGTACTGAAAATCTAAAAAGCCATGTATTGTAATTCCTTTTTAAAGTTATTTCAGTGACTTTCCAGCTTAAAATTTGGAAGCAAATTTTCCTTAAGAGACTATCAAGTACCAGTATCTTCACATGTTGATATGCTGTTACATATGCCCCACCAATTCACAACGGAACAGCACATACACTACATATTCAAATTTTAAATCTTTCACAGCACAATAACAGAGTTATTAAGAAAATAGTACTACCACACCAAAGATGTTACAGAGTGCACACAATTCTGACAGAGAGAGCCATGGTCAAGCAGTGGTTGTCTTTAGGAAACAATTCTGCTAAAAAACAACATGGGAATAGAAGTAATTTAAAATGCTTAATACATTAAATGCAGGACTGACTCCATATTGTCATTTAATATGGTTTGTATTATAGAATATAAAAACTAACCCCCCATTTATGGAATGTTAAGCTGACACCTGAGACAGTCAAAGCCTCCCATAATTCAGCATCTCACACTATTTTATGGTTGTACCAAAAAATAAACAACCATTGAATGATTTCACCTCTTAAAAAAAGAATTTTTACTTAAAAAATGGGATGAGGTGGGATTCCCTTCTTAAAAATGTTCCTAGAGCTACTAAAAAACCTGCATTTACAAAATAATTGATAGAAATATTCCTCTAGATTGTACAAGAAGAGGGACAGGGACCACTGATAAGACATGGTATATGGTATTACTCAAACTTGGCTTCTTTCTCTCCTGCTTCATCAGAGGCTGGATTCTCCTTACTTTTCATTTCCCCGTTTTCTGCAGGTAGATGTTCTTTAGTTTCTTGGTTAGGCATGTCAGCCTGTTTTCCCTTTGCTCCCCTTTTTCCTTTTGTTTGCACTTTTTTGTCTGAAGATTTAGCCTTCGCTGCTGCCTGTTTTGGCTTTGCCTCCACTTTTGCAGGGGCAGGTTTAGCACACAACCGTGCCTATCTCCTCTTGGGCTCTTCCTTGGCAGCCTTTTTGGCGGAGCTAACCTTCCTTTTGGGCATCCTGGCGGCGCACTGAGAGCCTTTGCAAAACTGGGCTGCCTGGTCACTGCCGCTCCTCCCGCTGCCCGAGCTGCTGAGACCCACAGCAGGAGCAGTGGGAGAACCCTGATTTTTACATTTTTAAATAGTTTAGGGAGAAATCTAAAGAAGAATTTCAAGATGTGAAATTTATATGAAATTGAAATTTCACTGTCCATAAATAACGTTTTATTGGCATATGGCCACTCTCATTCATTTACATATTGTCTATTGCTGCTTTTACACAAGAATAGCAGAGTTGAGTAGTTGTGACAGAGACCATATGGATCACCAAGCCTAAAATATTTACTGTCTGACTTTTTACAGAAAAAGTTTTCTGGCCTCTAGGCTAATCTATCAATTTAAAAAAAACAAAAACAAAAACAGAAAAACAGCTTTACTGAGAAATAATTCACATTACTGTGCAATTCACCCATTTATAGTATACAATTCAATAGGTTTTAGTATATTCACAGATAGGTACAACCATCACCTCAGTCAATTTAAAAACATTTTTGTCACTTCAAAAAGAAACCACATACACATTAGCTATTGTTCTTCTCTCTCCCCGTTACCCCCGGCCTAAGCAACCGTGAATCTACTTTCACTTAGCATATTTTCAAGGTGCATTCATGTTGTATCAGTACTGCCTGTATGTGTTTGTATACATATATATGTACTTTATTTCTTTTCATGGCCAAATAATACTCTGTTGCGTGGACATACCATTTTTGTTTAGCCATTCATCAATTTATAGACATCTGGTTTGTTTCACCTTTTGGCTATTATGAATACTGCTGCTGTAGACTTATGTATAAATTTTTGTGTGGACATGTGCTTTGTGGTTTGTTTGGATGTATATTTTCATTTCTTTTGGGTATATAAATATGAATAGAATTGCTGGGTCATATGGTAACTGTGTTTACCTGTTTTAGGAACTGCCAGAGTGTTTTCCATATAAAAATGGTTCAAGTGGCTAAACCATTTTTACATTCCTGCCAGCAGTGTATGAGGGAGCTTATCTCTCCACATGCTCATCAACACTTGTTATTCTCTGACTTTTTGATTACAGTCATCCTAGTTGGTATAATGTAATATCTCATCATGATTTTGATTTACATGTCTCTGATGACTAATGGTATCGAACGTCTTTTCATGTGCTTAATGGTTATTTGTACATCTTCTTTAGAGAAATATTAGATCCTTTGATAATTTATTTTATTTTTATTATTATTTTAAAATATTTCCTTCTTAATTTTATATTCACAGGGTACATGTGCAGCTTTGTTACAAGGTTATATTGTGTGATGCTGAGGTTTTGGTTTCTGTTGATTTTCTTATGCAGATAGTGACCATAGCATCCACTAGGAATTTTTTTTCAGTCCTTCTCCCTGTCCCCCCTCCTTTTGGAGACCCCAGTGTGTATTGTTCACATCTTTCTGTCTCTGTGTACCCGAGATTTAGCTCCCAATTTTAAGTGAGAACATACCATATCTGGTTTCCTGACTACATTAATTCACTTAGGATAATGGCCTCCAGTTGCATTCATGTTGCTGCAAAGGATTTTCATTCCTTTCCATGGTCAATATGTACCACATTATTTTCTTTTTTCTTTCTTTCATTTTTTTTGAGACAGGGTCTTCTCTGTCACCTAGGCTGGAGTGCAGTGGGTGATTCCAACTCACTGCAGCCTCAATCTCCTGGGCTCAAGTGATCTTCCCACTTCAGCTTCCTGAGTAGGTGGAATTACAGGCATGTACCACTGTGCCTGGCTAATTTTTTTGTATTGTTTTGTAGATACGGGGTTTTGTCATGTTTCCCAGGTTGGTCTTGAACTCCTGAGCTCAAGGTATCCTCCCCCCTTGGCCTCCCAAAGTGCTGAGATTACAGGTGTGAGCCACTGTGCCTGGCCTGTACCACATGTTATTTATCCAGTCCACTGGATAAAGAATCTTGATGGGCATCTAGGTTGATTCCATGTCTTTGCTATTGTGAATAGTGCTGCAATGAACATTAAGAGTGCACATGTCTTTTGAGTAGAATGATTTATTTTCCTTTGGGTATGTATACAGTAATGGAATTGCTGGGTTGAGTGGTAGCTCTATTTTTAGTACTCTGAGAAATCTTGAAACTGCTTTCTACAGTGGCTGGAATAATTTACATTCCCATCAACTGTGTATAAGTGTTCCATTTTCTCTGCAGCCTTGCCAACATCTTTTTTTTTTTTTACTTTTTAATAATAACTTTGTGGCCTGATATGGTGGCTGATGCCTGTAATCCCAGAACTTTGGGTGACAGGTAGATTGTTTGAAGCCAGGAGTTTGAGACCAGCCGGGCCAACATGGTGAAACTTGCTCTCTACAAAACAATACAAAAATTAGCTGGTCATGGTGGTGTGTGCCTATGATCCCAGCTATTCAGGAGTATGAGACATGAGAATGGCTTGAACCTGGGAGGCAGAGGTTGCAGTGAGCCGAGATTGGGCCACTGCACTTCAGACTGGGTGACAGAGTGAGACTCTGTCTTAAAAAACAAACAAACAAACAAACAAACAATTTTGCCTATTTTTAAATTGGGTTGTCTTTTTGGTATTGAGTTGTTAAAGTTCTTTATATATTCTAGATACAAATCCGTTATGAGATACGTGATTTGAAAATATTTTCTCCCATTCTGTGGGTTGTTTTTTCACTTTCTTGTGTCCTTTGAAGGACAGAAGTTTTTAATTTTGATGAAGTCTAGTTTATCTATTTTTTTGCTGTTGTTGCTGCTCATGATTTTGAGGTCATATCTAAGAAATCATTGCCAAATGCAAGGTCATGATGACTTACTCCTGTGTTTTCTTCTAAGAGTTTTAAAGGCATCTGAAGCTTAATGTGCACCAAGCTGGATTCTAAATATTATGTCATCCAAAACCTGCTGTATACACTGCCTTCCTCATCTCAGTTGAAGGCAAGTCCATTGTTTGAATTGTCTAGGCAAAAAATATTCTAAATAATTCATAATTGTTCTCAACTTTACATTTATTGGTAAATCCTGTGGGTTCTTCCTTCAAAGTATATACAAAATAGAATCATTTCTCACTGTCATTCCATTGCAGGCACCAAGGCTCCATAGTCTCCTAGCAGATAACCATGTCTACATTTATTCTCAATGTAGCAGCTAGAGAGCTTTTTTGAAAAAAAACATAAACCAGATCATTTCACTCCTCTGCTCAAAAGCTTGTGATAACTCCATTTTTTGTTTGGTGTGAAAGCCAGAGTCTCCACAAAAGTGGAGGCCCTCTGTGAGCTGGTCCCCACTTATTCTGATTTCTCTCTGACTTGTATTCCCGTTGATTACTCACTATAGCCACATTCTTGCTATTCCTTTATATTCTTTTGTATTCCTGCTTTAGGGCCTTGGTTCTAGCTCTTGCCCCTGCCTGGACTATTCTTTCCTTAGATATTTACTTTATGCCCTCATATTTCCATATTAAATATACTTTGTGGCTGGCGTGATGGCTCATGCCTGTAATCCCAGCACTTTGGGAGGCCAAGGCGGGCAGATCACTTGAGGTCAGGAGTTAGAGACCAGCATGGCCAACCTGGTAAAACCCTGTCTACTAAAAATACCATTACCTGGGCATGGTAGCATATGCCTGTAATCCCAGCTACTTGATGAGGCAGAAATGTTTGAATCCAGGAGGTGGAGGTTACGGTGAGCAGAGATTGTGTCACTGCCCTCCAGCCTGGGTGACAGAGGGAGACTCTGTCTCAAAAAAACAACAAAACAAAACAAAACCCCCAAAAATATACTTTGTCATTTGTCATACTTCATCTTATTAAAGAGACCTTTTCCAGACCACCCTATTTAATAATGAAATCTGCACCTCTACTCTATTCCTGACACCCAGATCTTCATTATGAATCACTTTTTAAATTAATTTTTTTTAACTTTGAAGAACTTATCATCATCTGGATTTTATTATTTAATCACTTATTATTTTATTATTTATTGCCTAGAGTATAAAGTTCATAAGGGAAAGGAATCTGTTTTGTTCACTGCTATATCTTCAGTACCTAGAACAGTACCTGGCCCAGTGTTGGTACTTTTTTGTATGGATTCAAAGTACTATCTGGGGTCATTTACTAGCCTTAAGCACTTTCTTTAGTATTTTTTTTTGTAAGGTGTCTTAGTTAGCAATGAATTTTCTCAGTGTTTATCTGGAAATGTCTTTATTTTGCCTTCATTTTTTCATGAGAGTTTTGCCGATGTAGAGTTCTTGGTTGCCATCCCCCTTCTTCAATGAGCCCTTTGACCGTGTTATCCGTTTGTCTTCTGGCATCTATTATTTTGGTGAGAAGTTAACTGTTAATCTTACTGGGGTTTATATGTATGATGAGTCATTTTTCTCTTGCTGCTTTCAAAAATTTCTCATTACCTTTGACATTTAGCATTTTACTTAATGTGTCTATTTGTGGATCTTTTTGCATTTATTCTATTTGGAGTTTATTAGATTTTCTCGATGGGTAGATTAATGTTTTTCAAAACACTTGGGAGATTTTTCAGCCATTACTTCTTTGAATGCTTTTCCTTTTTCTTTTTTTTTTCTTCTTTTTGAGATACAGTCTTACTCTGTCACCAAAGCTGGAGTGCAGTGGCACAATCTCAGCTCACTCCAACCTCTGCCTCCTGGGTTCAAGCGATTCTTGTGTCTCAGCCTCCCCGAGTAGCTGGGATCACAGGCATATGCCACCATACCCAGCCAATTTTTGTATTTTTAGTAGAGATGTGAGCCTTCCTGCTTTTTTTTTTATCTTCCCCTTTTGGTATTCATATTATGCATACGTTAGTGTGATTAATGGTGTTCTACATTTCTCTGAGGCTCTGTTCATTTTTCTTCAACCCGTTTTCTCTGTTTTAGGGTTGTATAATCTCTATCAGTCTCTCTTGAAGTTTGCTAATTCTTTCTTCTCCCAGTTCAGATCTACTATTTAGCCTCACTCCTAATTTTCCATTTCATTTATTACACTTTTCAACTCCAGAACATCCATTTGGTTCTTTTTTTTAAAACAGCAATTTCTATCTCTTTATTGACATTCTTTATTCGATGTGACATTGACATCATGCATTCCTTTACGTCTTTAATCATGATTTTTTTTACAGTCTTTGGACATATTTATAATGGCTAATATATAGTCTTTTTCTGTTAAATCTGACATCTGGTCCCTCCTACTGAAAGTTTCTGTTGCCTGCTTTTTTTCTGGTATATGGGTCACACTTTCCAGTTTTTTTGTATGTTTTGTTTGTTTGTTTGTTTTGAAGCGGAACATTTTTGATAATATATTGTAGCAACTTTGGGTACTTGTCTGATTCCTCTGGGGCCTATTATTATTTTCCTGTTTATTTGTTTAATGACTGGCTAGACTGTTGTAAGTGGTTGATCCCTCTCCTCCCACAGCAGGGTGAATCCTCTGATGTTGCTCCACAGAGGACTTTGGTAGGCCCACAGTCATCTTTGGATGATAATGGTTTGGGCAGAACTTTGACTGTCTCTTTCCCAGGTGCCACACCCAGCTTTTTAGGTTCACTAATTGCCATCTGATTGCTCTCCTCTTTTCAACAATGCCCTGAGGCATAAATTGCTTCCCAGACTAATCCAATTATGTTAGGGTTACTTTGAAGGGCTAGTTCCTGAGGTCAGTGTTTGAGATTTGTTCTTTTTTGGTTTGTTTTGGAGACAAGAGTCCCACTCTTTCACCCAGGATGGAGTGCAGTAGCATGATCATGGCTCACTGTAGCCTCACCCTCCTGGACTGCAGTGATCCTCCTACCTCAGCCACCTGAGTAACTGGGACCACAGGTGTGTGTCACGACACCTGGCTTCTTTTTTTTTTTTTTTTTTTTTTTTTTTTTTTTTGGGTTTTTTTTTTTTTTTTTTTTTTTTTCTTCTTTGGTCCATGGGTTACATAGAAGTGTAT